GGATGCAATCTTCTCCGAGCCTTTGCCAGAGTGTCGTGGGGGGCGGACCCAGCCACACTGCACATGGCGTATAACGGCCTTGTTAAGTCCCATCTTGATTTCGGTAGCTTTTTAATATCTAATGCAAGCAAAACACAACTATGTAAACTTGATAAAGTTCAATACCAAGCATTAAGAACTATCACGGGATGTATGAGGTCTACCCCCACAAACGCACTACTGGCGGAGTGCTCGGAGTTGCCGTTGTCATACCGGAGAAAATGGTTAGCATCCAAATTTACCATTAAATTGGCTGGCTACATTTCACATCCCCTGCTCGATACCCTGGAGAGAATAAGCCGTCTGATATCTAGCAATCCTCACATCAGCAAATCTTGGTGCCTGGTGGAGGCCTACCAAGAGGTCAGAGTGTTCTTTAAACATGTACACCGCAGCGATCTCCTGCCGTGCTTTGAATACGGTTTGGAGGTGCAGACAAGCAAAATGCCAATCCTAAACCTGGGGCTTGTCAAGGGCCAACTAAACGCAGACGCAGATTTCAATGGTAAAATTGATAATTTGAGACAAACTCATTGTGTAGTAGTACTGATGCATCAAAGACCAAGCACAGAGCGGGTTTTGGGGTATTTAGTCCAGACTTAAATATAAGATTTGCGGCCAGGCTGCCGGACTGTATTCAAATTTGCACGGCGGAGATCGCTGCGGTGAAAAAAGCGGTGGAGGAGGTGGGGCTGAGGGGGGAGAGCAGATGCGTTATTCTGTCCGACTCTCTTAGTGCTATTTCCAAACTAACTAATTATAATTATTATGCCAAATGCGACGCCTTCAGCTTAGCTACCAAGAAACTTTTGTTGGATAAGGCTGGGTTCAGGTTGGCCTGGATCCCAGGGCATAATGGAATCAAGGGTAACGAAACCGTAGATCAAATTGCTAAACTAGGGGCAACCCTCGTTAACCCAGTAGAAACTAAAATGGGGACTTATGAGTTCATACCCACAATTAAACGGGATATTAAAAGAAAGTGGGATGCTGAATGGAGAGAAATATATAGGTCAAAGGGTAAATTTTACGCAAAGGTACAAGCTGGGTTCCCAGAGGTACCAATTTTTAAAAAAATCAATTTTACTAACCGTAGACATTTAACTGCTATAATAAGAATGCGAACCGGTCACTGCCAATCTTTTTCCCACCTATTCAAGGTGGGGGTAAGAGACGACCCTTTTTGTGAATGTGGGCAATATGGGGACTTAGACCACATATTTCTGGAATGCCCAATTAACGGGGGGGGGGGAAACCCAGATCTCTACTGGCAGCTGCACAAAGCGGGAATTGAAAGGCCCTTTAATATAGCCACAGTCTTACAAAAGATCAATAAAGTAACCATCGACATAATTTTAAGATTTATAAACTTAAATAAAATCGCGATATAGTTTGCAGCGGAAGTCATTAATGATAAAAATAAAAAATAATAATAAATAAAATAAAAATAGTAAAACAAAAATACAATTAAAAAAAAAAAAATAACAACAAATATCAACACATTACGATCGATCTAATAGAAGGGAGCGGCAATAGGATCTCCCAGACTCGCCCCTCCCCAGCTACAAACAAAGGCGTCAGCTGGCCAAATCCCGGAAGGGAAAAGCCAAAAAGAATAAAGAAGAAGAAGAAGATAAACAAGTGTGTAACCAGTGGCGTATCACAAAAAATATAAAAAACTTCTAATGCACATTTTTATCTTTGGAAAAATGTTTTTTTAAATATTTTTCCTTTACTCCTTATGTCAAAAGGTATTCAGTATTTTAATATATAACATTAATTACATAACACCCTGTATATATATATATATATATATAATCGAGAGGTATGCACAAGTTTTGTCCTTAGAAGTATAAAAGCTTTAATTTAATTTGAACCATATTCAACAATTATTTAGTATACCTATATTTATTTATGACCATATTAACACACTCTTCCAAATAAGGGCGAATTTTTGTTAAATGTACATTTTGTATATATATTTTGTCCAGGCAGGGCAATTTGATCGATTTTTTTTCCTTTGTGATAGAACAGTGTAATATACTGCAAAAAAATTCTATAAGTTTATAAATAACAAAAATAAACGTTAAAGAAATAAAACTACTAAGGTTAATCTGAAATAGGGAAGGAACACAAGGAAGAAATTAAACATTGTCCTCCTCCTAACGCATCTTCCTGAACGTTTTATGACACATTGCTTTCGACTTTTTCAAACGTTATTTTTCAGAAATACTGTTAAATGTAAATATCTTTCGGCATTTGTTTGGAATTTCTACTATGCTATAATACAAAATGAAAATAAAAAAGTTAACTTCTAAAACAAGAGTTTTATGTAGCGTTTTGTAAAAGACACCAAAAGTGTACGCAAAAATCTTACCTTTAAAATATTTATAAAAAAATTCACACACTTTACACGTGCTCACTTGTTGTTGCCGAACTATCAAACATGTATGCCCTCTAGATATAACACGATAGTATCTCTATCTCGTGTCTCTATTTCGAAGCAGTCGGCATAGAAGACGACGTTAGGAAAAAGACAAGATTTTTGAATGTCAACTTTAATATTTTTTTCTGTTTAAACTACTTTGTAGAAAATTATTTTATTTTTATATACGAATAAAAGAACTTTCCATTGTTTAAAAATAATTTATTTTTTCAGAAGAAACCTGCAAAGAAGAAGAATATAATAATTTAAATTAAAAAATCGCCTCTGGGGACAGTTAGGTTACAGGACATTTCATCTAGTTTTTCTGCCATATATAGAAACATAAAGTAATTACAAAAAAAAATACGATGGGTCCTAACAGGAAGGGGGTATTTAAATATAATAAATACAAAACTTATCAACAAAGGTAAAAAATAAAAATAAAATTAGCTGGGGACAGCAAATGTACATTTAACGAAAATTTGCCCATAATCCAATTATTTATTTTGGTCACAATCAGTGGCGTATTTAGGGGGGGGTCCGCCGGGTCCGGACCCCCCCCGGGCGCACATATTTTATTATTTTTATTACAAAAAAAAGTTTTAAAAAAATAAAAATCTCAAGACTGTCAACGTACTTTATTATTTATTAATTATATTTAAATATAAAATCATTAAAATCAAAAATCAACTACTTATAAGTATACGTATTAATGCATAGCATAGTACATATTTAGTTAGTTTTTTTGGACCCCCCCCGGAGCTAAATCCTAAATACGCCACTGGTCACAATAGATTTTTCTAACCTTAAAATACAAAATTAGATGATATTTTTTGTTCTAATACAGATATTCTTATTTCATAATCGAAAAGTTTTTTTAATAAATCCTGTTTAGTTAAAACTATTTTATGCAGAAATGTAGACCCAATGCACAAAAATATCACTTATATTGCACCTTACACTTTGGAATTTTATTAAATGCAGTATTTATATTCCTAAATTCTTAAACCAACCATTGTTATTGTGATACTATAAAGATTTATTAACTTTTAAGGCTTAAACATAAGCTGTAACACTATAAATATTATTTCTTGCATTGACTATACTTTGACAGATACATAACCTGAAAAGTCTTAAATGCCAAATTTTCAAAAGACTGCGTTTCGTACGTGGTCACGTGGTGGGACTTTGAGGTGTGGAGCATAGAAGGTACCTATATTTTTTATGGAAATCTAGAGCTCATTTCAAAAATGAGTCATTTGTTAGCACTTTAAAATTATCATTTACAATTTTGTGCTTCTAACTTAAGAAACACTAAAATATGACAGTTTTAAACCTTAATTTTGCCCATGGTACCAAGACCTTGCGATAGCAAAAAGTGCCACTTTGGTAATTTATTGCTGCACCTGACAACCCTGGTAAATGTATCTTGTGACAACCCTGTATGTATCTTGTGACAACCCTGATTACCGATATATCGGTAATCAGGGTGGCTTTGGGTTTATACAGTTTGATAATCGTTTTAAACGTTGTGTTTCTTACACTGAGAAAAAAATATAGTAACCACTATCAAAAAAATATTAACTTACAATAAAAAAAATAATGAAATAGGGGACAAGAATAAAAAATATTCACCACCAATAAAATCATATAATGACTTTCTTTGCTGGCGGTTACTAAATAGTTAATAACCTTTAATATTTTTTATTTTGTAACTACTTACAAATAAAAATTTTGCTTAACAATAATATTCATGATTATTAACGTTTATTATAAACATTTTTACGCGCCAATAACTTGCCTGTATGTATATATTTATGACAATTAAAAAATGTAATAATGCTTGTAAGCCTTAAAAGAGGCCTTAAAGTGCTAAGAACAACCATTTTACTCCTCTTTTGTAAAAAATAATCATCTATCAGGGTTGTCATCAAACTGTCAACTGTCAATTTTGGTTAATTTACCATAACCACAGAAGAACCATATATATGTGGTTCTTCTGTGGTAAGACCGTAACCAATGGTTACTAACCATAACCCACACATTAACCTTAAAGTTTGACATTTGACAGTTTAATGAATTAAATGAGTGGGGAATAAATTCGTCTCTCTCTACTCTTTGCATATAGAAAATTACGGCATTTCCGACCTTTGAATAAAAAACCTTTTTTTTCTTCAAATTTTCCGGTATATACCAGAGACAAGGGTCTCTGGTATATACCATATACCTATAACCTTATAGGTATATGGTATATACCGTTACATATACATATATATGTTATATACTGAAAGGTACAGTGGCTTTGACCCTATATAAAAAGTGTTCGCAAATGACAAAATTGCTCTAAAATTTGTTAATATTTAAATTTTTTTCAGGCGTAGATTATAATTAACCTACAATTGTTTTTCTTTCGTGCACCTGTTTTTTGTTCTAAGCGTGCACCCATGGGTTTAAATTCCCTAGATTTAAAAAAAAAATTCATAGACCTGACAACACTGCGGTTGCATGTAGCCAACGTAAAGAAAGAAAAAATACCGTTTTAAACAACGCTGATTCATAAGCTGTCAAAAAATTGTTATCTACTTTTGTCAAGAGGTGTATATTGAAAAAAACGATTTATTTCTATAACTTTGTTTTGTAAAAGTGTATAATAAACGTTCAATAACATGGAGAATATCGCTAATTTGGATAAATCAGTTGTCACATTAATAGTTGGTGATAAAAACGAACAAATTGAAAATGAGGTAAAAAACAATGAAAAATGGAAATTCTGCGCACAAAGCGAAGTTTCAACAATTAAAAATGATTCCTTTAACACTATTTTAACCCTGGTTAAAGATGATCTACTCTCAAAGGAAGTTGTAAGGAAATTACTGGAAATATTAACACCAGAAGGCAAATTGTTGCTTAAAAACGTCGCAAACACTTCAGAAGTTGAATTCCTGCTAAAAACAAATGGATTCACGCAAGTGACAACCGATAACGACGACATAACCTCTCAAAAACCGAAATACTCCCTAGGTTCATCGGCAAGCCTAAACCTTAAAAAAACAGCCCCAAAAACATGGAAATTAAACGATGTCGATGATAACGACGACGAAACGATCGACCCCGACAATTTATTGGACGACGAGGACCTAAAAAAACCTGATTTCAGTTCACTGAGAGTTTGTGGCACGACAGGGCAACGTAAGGCCTGTAAAGATTGCTCTTGTGGCTTAGCCGAAGAATTGTCTTCTGAAACCAAAAAAGATAATGCGGATTTACCCAAATCCTCATGCGGAAGTTGCTATTTGGGCGATGCTTTCCGATGCGCAAGTTGTCCATATCTGGGAATGCCAGCTTTTAAACCTGGGGAAAAAATACAACTTTCCGGAAATCAACTTCAGGGAGATTTGTAGTTATTTTTGGTGTATTAAAGTTTATTTGTTTAGATTAAGTGTTATTACTGCCCACAAAGCTAAAAATCCTTAAAATTAGGTTCAATTCTGGTATTTTTGTCGAATGTCAAAATTCTGTCTATAAAAAGTTTTGAAATGTTTATATATATACATATATACGTAATTTAAGCCAATTACACTAAATTAGTAGTGATTTAAGTCGATTATATTGCTTAATTTACTTATATTTTGATTTTTAAAAATGTGTAATAATAAAAATTTGCAAATGCATTTTGTGACATCTATTATTGATACTGGAAACTACCTGTCAAAATAGAAGGTTTTATAATGTTTTTAACGTAATTTAAGCAAATGAAATAAAAGTAAGTGATATACAAATATGTGGCTTAGTTTACCTATAATTATTATATTTTAGTGTGCCATACAAATATCAACACTGACAAAGTGACATTCATTATCAATACATAGAAAGGAATCTGCTTTATCTCAAACTAACCTAACTTTCATAACATAACCCCAAATTGTTTAACTGTCAAAACACAACGTTAAGAAATGTTTTTAACGTAATTTAAGCAAATTAAATCATAGTAAGTATTATTAAAGTCAATTGCGTAGCCTATTTAACATATATTTATTGTATTTTAGCGTATATAAGCCATAAAGATGTCTGTAGTAATAGAAACGACGTCCGGAGACATTACAGTGGATTTATTCCTTGGAGATCGACCGCAAGCTTGTTTAAACTTTTTAAAGTTATGCAAAATAAAGTACTACAACTTTAATTTGTTCCATACTATCAGCAGAGGTTTTATAGCTCAAACAGGTGATCCTACAGGTTCTCGTAAGGGGGGTGAGTCAATATATGGAGTTCTCGATGGGGATAGTAAAAGATACTTCGAGAGTGAGAAGGAACCAAGGATTAAACATACGAAAATAGGTTTGGTATCGTTTGTGGGGAACGAGGAGGGAATGATTGGGTCGCAGTTTTTTTTTACATTGGGTGAAGATTTAACCTACTTGGATGGTAAACATTGCGTCTTCGGCGAGGTTGTGGAGGGGTTTGAGGTTATCGAGCAAATAAATGAGTCTATTTGCGATAAAGACGACAGGCCTTATCAGGATATACGGATTACGCATACGGTGGTTTTGGATGATCCGTTCCCTAATATCAAAAGACTTGTAGTGCCGGAAAGATCGCCTAGTCCGTCCGCGGAGAGATTGCAAGGCGGTAGAATAGCCCCCGATGAGGATATCGATGAAAATGAGGGCAAGTCAGCGAAGGAAGTTCAAGAAATGCGGGCGGAACGCGAAGCAAAGGCGAGAGCTACAATTCTTGAAATGGTGGGTGATTTACCCGACGCAGAGATGGCCCCACCGGAAAACGTTCTTTTTGTGTGCAAACTGAACCCTGTCACCACCGATGACGATTTAGAAATCATATTCAGCAGGTTCGGGAAAATCAACACCTGTGAGGTTATACGGGATCATAAGACTGGAGATTCTCTGCAGTACGCGTTTGTAGAGTTCCAAGAACAGTCGGCATGCGAGCAGGCGTACTTTAAAATGGACAACGTGCTCATAGATGATCGGAGAATTCACGTCGACTTCTCGCAGAGCGTGTCCAAGGTTAAATGGCTCGGTAAGGGGCGAGGGGTCGCGCATTTCAACGAAAGGGGCGAAAGGAGTCGCAATGGGGACAGAAACATCGGTAAGGGGGATTATAAGGACTCCACATCAAGAAATAGGCACAACAATGACAGAAATAGGCGTAGATCGCGATCGAGAGACAAAAAAACATCATCCAACGATTACAGACATCAAAAACACAAAAAACATCGCTCCAGCAGCTCTGAAGATGACACAAAAAGGAAGAAACGTCGAAATTCTTCGAACGATTCGAGTTCCGAAGATCGCAGGAAAAAAAATAAATCAAAAAGGAGAAACAAACGGGATTCTAGCAGTGATTCCGATAAAAAACATTCAAAAAGTAAAAAAAGTAGCAAGTATTATGAAGAAGATAAGAAAAGAAGAAATAGGGACTACGAAGAAGATAAAAGAAGCAGAAAAAGGGATTATGAAGATGATAAAAGGAGTAAAAATAGGAATAGAAGATAATGTATTTAATAAACTGTTTTAAAATATAAAGTTGGTATTTTTATTAGCTGGAATTCTTTATCCTTAACCCTAGATTCTGTATAACACCACTAGGTGGCGATACAGGTCTAAAATCCAGTTTTATTAACAAAAGCATATTTAATATGCTTTTTCTGTACAAAAATAGTATATTATGTATTATGAAGATGATAAAAGGAGTAAAAATAGGAATAGAAGATAATGTATTTAATAAACTGTTTTAAAATATAAAGTTGGTATTTTTATTAGCTGGAATTCTTTATCCTTAACCCTAGATTCTGTATTACACCACTAGGTGGCGATACAGGTCTAAAATCCAGTTTTATTAACAAAAGCATATTTAATATGCTTTTTCTGTACAAAAATAGTATATTATGTATCAAGTTTTATGAACGGTATTTTAGTTACGAGTTTTATTAGGCATGAGCTAAGCTTGCGAGCGATTGCTTAATACAAACGAGTGTCTAGAGAAGTTTATAAACTAGGTAGGTGCATACTATACTTTTTCTACGACAAATACTTATTATTATCTTAAAATGATTTAAATCAAAAATTTGTATAGAGCGCCATCTATGAAACAATAGGGGAATCTGTGTTAGGTACCGTCAAATGTCAAATTTGTCCGTATTATAAAGGTTATAAATCGAAATATTTTCGTTGAAAATCGATTAACAAGAGTTTTTCTCAGTGAAAGTAAAGAAAATGTTTTATGAGCTCTTCACGGTGAAGTCCGAGCTCGAATTCAAGTTATCCAGTTTACTTTCGGCGAAATTAAAAGGTCAGTACAATGTTCATATAAACTTTTCAAATATTGGAGTTGAGAAACTATTTAATGCTTTTGTATTTTTGTATTGCGATAATAAAATAATTTTCACATTTAGTATTATTTTACAAGAATAATATTTTAACGATTGTATGACATTTGACAACTGTCAACTAAATTGAAACTAATTTCAGTCCGTGACTAAAAACGTGTTGTTAACTTCAGCCCGTGACTAAAACGCCATAAAGCCACAACTTTTCAATGATTATTTAAAAGGTCAATTGGTGTCACGGAAACATTTTCGATAATGGGCGTTTTAAAGGTGGAAGTAGAAAAATAAATAAATAAAATAATACATTAAAGCATGGTTTTGTTGTATTTTTACACATTCGACATAAAATGGAGCAGATGTGTGCCGGTTTGGTCCCTCGTTTCGATTTAAATTCGATTATATGTGAATTTGGATTATTGTTAAGGGAATTCGTGGCCCTGCCGGTCAATTTCTTTACCGACTGATTCGACAATTTCGCCTAGAAAGTGGACATGTTACATTATCGTCCTAATCGAAATAAAATTAGATCAAGGGGGTTATAGCGTGTTTAATTCGTTTTGAGGTATGCAACCCAGATGTCCATTATCCCGGAGCATTCGCCATTTTTGTAAAATTACTTTAAACCATAGAAATAATACTAGTATTATTTCTATGGTATGAAATTGGTGTTTTTTGCTGTTAACTTGTAAACGGTCGACTTTAGAGAAAAAGGTGAAAAACAATTTTAGTAGTAAATTTTGTTTTCTACAAAAATGTTTATATAGATTTTATCTCTAAAATTAATATTTTAAAAGATATATGAACTTGAAACCATTAAAATTTAATATTTTAGCAAAATAGCCTTTATAATAATGTTTCTTAAATAAATGTAAAAATTGAAATATTTTGTTAGTTTTTAATATTAACGCAGTATTTTCTAAAAAAATACAAGAAAAGCGATGAAATTCTTTGATATTAAAGAGAACAAAGATGTTTATGGATTTTGGGGGTTTAGTGTTAAACCTTTGCTGGCGTGTCTCAATATCGCGTTGTCTTAAACGCGATCTTTTATATTCAAACGGTGTCCCATTTGATTTTTTATGCCCGGATTTCACTCTAGATTAAATAATAAAACTCATACATAAAAAACCAATACCCTCCCGATATTATTATCTACGATCGAGTCGAGGTAGGTATACGGGAAAATGCCCGTTAAATAAATCTTTCACAAAACAGTCTACCTAAGTACTTTTTATATTATCTTGTTTATTTTATACAGGGTGTTCCTGTTAGTTTACATTTTAAAATTTCTGTTATAAAAAGTTAAATATAAAAAGATGCCATCACTGGTTTTCAAACTGAAATTACCCTATAGTAGCAATTTGGGAAAAGCCTTGTGCAGCATGGGTCAAGATACTTGGAACAGATTGTTGATCAAGAATTGTACAAGAATTGGTCCAGATTATTGATCAAGATCATTGGGCAAGACTTGGGCCAGACTGTGGCCATAATTTGACCAGAAGTCTGAGGCCATCTGTAACTAAACTTAGGGACTATCCTATAGAGGTTTTCATTTTACAGTAGTTTCATTCACAATACTCTAGTCGAGAAGTGTGTGTAAGAGAGAAGGATAAGGTGCGCCTTACTCTCTCTGTCTAAGGTGAACCAAAGTTTTCCGAAGCTAAAATTTTTCTTCCCACAAGACCCTCAGGTAATAAAAATTTTGCAAAAAAAAATATTCTGAAATCAATTTTTTGGAGGCATTATTTCAAACTCAACGCTAAACTGTAAAGAACTGACGTTTTTAAACTAATTGACTACATTATAATTGAGAACCACTGCAATGCTATACTTTTTACTTTCAAGTGAAAGTAGGGAAATATGAGGCGCGCTTGTCGTCTTTTCAGTTTATCTCAAGACTCTGGGCCAAGAATCTGGTAAAATTCTGGTAAAAGACTGGCCCAAGTCTGGGTCCAGTCTTGATAAAGAATCTTGATCAAGTGTCTTGATCAAGAATTGTCAAATTGTGTATAAAGTGCTTCTCCAAGTATCTTGCCGGAGAATATTGTCCCATTCCATTGCTACAAGGGTGAAGTGGGCTAAAGTTACAAAATACTGTCCGTTCAGGCTAAGTTTAGCGGTCTAATTATTCCTTAAGGAATGTCAAGCCGTCCATTATCTCTATGTTCAGGCACAATTAAATACATGTATTTTGGTAGCCCCTCTGTCATTGGCGTAACTACAAGGGGGCCTAGGGGGGCCGGGCCCCCCAGACATCGCTGGCCCCCCCAGGAAAAGGCTGACTTTTATCTGTTACAATTGTTTGTTATTACCAAATTTACAATAGAAATATGTATGTATCATTTACGTATCTTAGGTTGTATTTTATCAACTTTTAAAATACCAGTAGGTACCTACCTATTTTAAAACCGCCCCTGCAAGCTCGCAACTAGCAATCAGGGCTGGATGCTCCTGTGGACGAGTTTATTCAAACGGCAAGCCGCGGCACTGATAAATCATCTTCTTGTCACCGAAATCTCGCGACGATTCGATTTCCAAATTTCATTATAATTTGATGATTTTAGAATGGTCTGTTATTTAATTGTGCGTATGTTATTTTTGTAAGTATGTGTTAATTTTTTTTGTTTATGAAATTGATTAATAAAGCAACATTTCTTATTACATTTTTTTTCATTTAAGTTCCCAATTTCCAATAAATACTTTTGTTACTATAGTCTATATATAGGTCTACAAAAAAGTCTATATATAGGTCTACAAAAAAGTTTGTAAAAATAAGGTCCTTTTGGAGGATTTTGTTATTAAATCTACAAAATGTTTGTTTTAATTACAAACTACTTATAGAATTAGTTAACAGATTACAGTTGGTTGTAAACTTAATATAAAGTTATGTGGACCTGGATTAACATAAAATCTGGTTAATATTTGGTTAAAATTAACAAATATTTTTTTACTGTGTACCTAAAACCAAATATAGATACAATAGTATAACTATTATTATGTGCTTTTTTATTATTCATAAAGGAAATTAGAAAATGGACTTTTCCATTTCATTCTTATAATTAATTCATTATAATTTGCATATGTTTCGCCGTTTTAGTTTTTCGTCGACAGGGGTGTGTTTTTAACTTTCTAATTTCCTTGCATTTTTAATAACAGTTTTTCTTACATTTTTAGGTCTCTTAATGGTGACATTAACGAGGGTGAATATTATTTTCCCCTATGCATAGAAAGTTTCTAATATACGCCGATTTTTCCCCTTAATTTAAGCACCCAGTGTTACCACATTCCGTCAAAAAAGTAATAAATTTTGTGCAAATTTAACTTTACTAGAAAATTGTACAATTTGACGTTACTGAGTAACGTCAAATTGTATTTTTTTTGTAAAGGTGTATTCACACAAAACCTACTTTTTTTGCTTTCATCTACCTCTAAAAAATAAATATTTTACATTTTCATATCCATTGTGAATATAATTTAGGCGAACTAAAGGTAATTCTAATGTTACTGTATCTTAAAGAGTCTTAATGTCGTAGCGATAGCAATGAAGTGTGACAAAATCTATTTTCCAAGTGACACAATAAATGCACATAAAACATTGCATTAATTAAAAAGAAAGAAATTGGTTTACTTTACTTGAATAGAAAATTAAATACTGCAAATACTTACCGAGTAAATGCCGTGACGAAAGATAACCTTCAAAAACACACGTTGCTTGTTATAACGCGCAAAATAACAATAAAGATACTATTGCCTGCAGCGGCGCCATCTCGTGCCGCAGTTATAAACTTAAACATTTTATCACATTATTTATTAGTACTGAGGAGCCACCCATTTGTTATTTCATTTAAGTTTTAGAATTCTGTTTCATACAAAACCTATGAAATGTATCCAAGTTTTCACTATTGCAATATGACGGGGACATAGGGTTTTAGGGTGTGATGCCAACTTTTAACCTTCATTAAGACATTAAAATTTTGTTTAAATTTAATTGAAAAGTTTTCTATTAATTTTTGTTATTTAAACTTTTTTTATGAATCTAGTTCTATATTAGCTGTCTCAATTTATTATTTTTTTAATTAGAAATGTTAGGGACAACTTACAAGGGTCAAAATTTATTTACAGGCCAATTTCTGTCCCTGGTAAAAAAAAAATTTTTTCAAGCATTACCTGGTTACTCAATGTGTAATACACATA